CGGCGGGAGTGCTGCCGCTCTCCCAAGTTGCGCACCCTCCAATGCGCCCCCCGGCCAGCCCACTAGGACAGGCCACTTAATTGAGTGTCATGTATTATCTTTTGGAATCAAATGAAAAAGAAGCTCATTCTTCTTTAATGGAAACCATATCACAAACCATTGCTCACCAATGTCCTACTGGATAAGCAACATTTTTAACTACTTCTTTACACAATCCTTAAACTGCACTGTCATTTTTCTCTCACTCACGATTCTGCATGATTCATGAAAAGTCATCTTAATTTTCTCACCCAGATTCCAGTTCCTTAAAACACTGTGTTACCTTTGTTTTTGTAATCAAGCCTTTGTTTATTTTAGAAGCATAAATAGCAGAACTCTGAAAAAGTGATGAACACAAGGCACCAGTCTCCTTGACAAGGCCTGATCCAGCTTAGGTCCTGTCTACAAGCATATGCAAGATCAGAGCTCACCCAGTAGCCTTGTTTAGCATTTCCCTGCATGGAGAGGACATAAGGTTTATCTTGGCAAAGGTGTATCTTTCATAAGGGTGCGGTGGAGTAAATCCACTGTTGGTACTTCTGGGCCAGCTGAAAATATTAGTAGATATTTTAAATGGATCAGGATACTGGTAACATTACATCTACAGAATGAAGAATGATGTTTTCCACCATCCATTCACTTGGAAGACAATATTCCCTGTAGAGGACGTAAAACTCAGAAAAAGAAAATTGCCACACTACTGAAATAATAAGTAATGAGATGGCTGTTCCACCTAGGATATCTACAGGGATAGGTGAATAATTTCCAAGGAAATATGTAGTTGTGATTTTTATTTATTTATTTGTCCATCTATCTATCTATCTATCTATCTATCTATCTATCTATCTATCTATCTATCTATCTGTCTATCTGTTTGTTTGCTTATTTATTTATTTATTTATTTTTCCATTTATTTATTTATTTATTTTTGTGGTTGTGACTTAAATTGAAATTCTTCCTTTAGGAAAGAATATTCCATTAAATTAAAACACTGCATTTTCATTTCTTTTCTTTTCTTTTTTTCTTTTTTTTTTTTTTAATTACTATTACTCCAGTAGAAGTCGCACAACAATTTTGATGTTAATGTAGAAAAACAAATAGAAGTGCTGGGTAATGGGGTGGGGGTGGGGGGTGAGTAAATGGCCAAATTACAGATTCTTCCTGCCCCTATAATTTTAATTGTGTTTCAGATTAAATTTTGAACATCTTTTCTTCTTCTTCTCATTAATTTTTAAAAGTGTTTATCTGATTTGTAAAACGTATGTATATTAGATATTCAAATAAGTAAATTTAACTTACCAGTATAAGAAAAAATGTTCAACACCTCAGCTCGTTTTGAAACCTCATGACTTCTCCCTCCCATGCTTTATTTCTCTATCATCCTCCTAAAAAATAGAAAAACAAAACAAAAAACAAATGCAAAAACTGATCAGTTAAATTTGTCTGACGTTTACAATGATACATAAATTAAGTAAATGATAGCAGTTATAAGTGACATGATTGGAATTCAAACTTATCTTTAATGTAGGAGTATGAGAATCAAAGGCACAGCCTTCCCAGCGTGAAAGCAAGAGCAAGATAGTCAGAAAACAGTCCTGTCGGAAGATAGGTTTAGATAAAAAGTTCACTTATACGTTTACCTTAATTCAAATGGGAATAAAATCCCTAGAGCTAATCTTGTGATTAAAAGCTATAATACATATATTATTAAAGGTATCTCTGTGTTTCTTGAGGGATTTGGGAAACTCTCAAGAATTCGATGGTTCCCATAAGGCATTTAATTTCCTAAATGTTACAAAGAATAGAAGGAAGTGTGGGGCAAACGGGAAAAATAGAACGTGTGACCTCTGTAAAAAAGGCAATAGAATTAATAGTGATGACTACTTAGAACTTTAATAAGGGAAGTTTATCATGCTTTTCAGAACATATTAATTGGCCTACTTGTCAGAAAAAACAAAGACAAAACATTAAACCATTTTTATTCCTTGACTTCCCTGTATTGGAAAAATATCATCAAAGAAAATTAAAATTACAGTAGTCCCCCCTTATGTATGGTTTCACTTTTCATGGTTTTAGTTATCCACCATCGATTACAGTTCAAAAATAATAAATTGAAAGTTTGAGGAATAAACAATTCCTACATTTTAAATTGCATGCCATTCCATGATGGAATCTCACACTTTCCCACTCTGTCACTTTGTCTCCTTGCACAGACGTTGTATCATCTCACGGCATCACATGAAGCGTAAGTACAGTACAATAAGATATTTTGAGAGAGAGAGAGACCGCATTCACGTAACCTTTATAGCAGTACATTGTTATGATTACTTAATTTTGTTATTAGTTATTGTTGTTAATCTTTCACTGTGCCTAATTTATAAATTACACTTCATGTGTATATAGGAACAAACAAAGTATATGAAGGGTTCAGTACTATCAGTGGTTTCAGGCATCCATTGGGAGATGGGGACGTATCCTTTGGGGATAAGGTACCACTACTGCAATTCTTAAAAGGATTCCATGAAAAAACCAGAATACTCATCTCCTGAATGTTTATTCCTCTAGGCTAACATGTGTCTGTTGATGGACAATTTTGTGACTTTTGGCTTCAGCTTAAACTGTATTATGATGGATTTTGGTAGAAATGTCACATACTGTTCTCTTACATATATATGTATCTAAATAAAAATTGAACTTCATTCTTTATACTTAAAACAATTAATTTTTTTCTTCTTATATGCTAATTTCTTAATGTACTAAATTAAGAGGTAATGGGGCAGGTGGTAGTGTTGGAGACTGGGTGATATTCTAAGGTTGAATTAATACAGAAGATCCATTATCTTAGAAGGCCTAGACCATTCTAAGCACCTGATATATTCTATGCTGTGATTGGTTTTTTAAAACTATAATTTATTCCCAGTCAATATATAAAGAAGAAATAAAGAGATTGAGTTTCTTAGGTCATATTCTCTTTTCTCTTAGGAAATTGTAGATTAAGGAAAAAAAGTATATGAAAAGACTTTATAAAAGTCTGTATTTGAAGGCATGCTGTCAATAAGAACTAAAACAAAACAAAACAAAAAAACAAAACAAAACAAACCTCAAAAGCAAATAATTACATAAATTCCAAATGAGGTCCTCTATCTTTTGCCGGTCTATTAACCCCTTGAATTTTATATAATACTATGTTTAAAAGCACGTATTTCTGGAAACTGGCCCTATATCAATTATTAGATAGGTCTCCAAAGTAAGGCCTAATAGTTCCTATGAGCAGTAAAAACTGATATTAAATTTAATAGTATTGATATTGGGAACATTTATAGTATTGCAGTTAAATTTGCCATATAGAAAAATTTAGTAGAAATCTTTAAAACTCTTGTAGCCTATAGTAGTTAATGTTAGTGTTTTTGGTCCTAAAAGTCTTTTTGTGAAGAATGTTATTCAGAAGTTATATTAATTAATACATTAATGCTCAATATATTAAAGTATTATGTTTTAGAAAATAATTCTCTTTTCAAATAAAAGTCATGTGGAAAAAATAGAAGAAAATAAACTCTAATAATTTAAATGTATAATGTAATGAGTTCACATTCCAGGGCAATTACTATCTCAATCAAAATACAGAATATTTCTATAACC